TAACTTGTAGCATGGTTATGTACTAGTTGAAGTGTGATTATATGTTGTTTAATGGGTAACTTGTAGCATGGTTATGTACTAGTTGAAGTGTGATTATATTTTGTTAATGGGTAATTTGTAGCATGGTTATGTACTAGTTGAAGTGTGGTTAAGTGCCGTTTAATGTGTGACTTCTGGTGTCGTTATGTACTATTTAATTTTGCTAGTTCAAGTGTGGTTATGTGCGGTTTAGTAGGTAACGTGCAGTGTGGTTATGTGCCGTTTAATGGGTAACGTGCAGTGTGGTTATGTGCCGTTTAATGGGTAACGTGCAGTGTGGTTATGTGCCGTTTAATTGTATTAGTTAAAAGTGTGGTTATATGTTGTTTAACTATGTTAGTTGAAGTGTGGTTATGTATTGATAAACTGTGTGACTTGTAGTGTGGTTATGTACTGTTTCATTGTCCTCTGAGGTATATCTTATTCTGTAAGTTTCCCACTATCCATTCTATGAAATACAAATTGTTTCGTTTCTATCAGTATCTATTATCTTATATGTTTCTCTTAATACCTATTATCTTATATGTTTCTCTTAATACCTATTATCTTATATGTTTCTATTAATACCTATTATCTTATATGTTTCTATCAATACCTATTATCTTATATGTTTCTATTAATACCTATTATCTTATATGTTTCTATTAATTCCTATTATCTTATACGTTTCTATTAATACTTGTTATATTATATGTTTCTATTACCAAATACCTGTTAATCTGTAGGTTTCCTTGCTATAATACATATATTCGATAGTTAATTTTGTTTTGTTTTTGTAAAAAATACGCCTTATCCTATAGGTTCCCATTATCAAATACATAGTGTCCATTAGTTTGTTTTGTTTTTAAAGTAAGTTTATTTTCAATCAGACACAATATTTTTTCAATATTCTGTACATTTCATTTCTATAAGATATATGGTATACAAATGCACGATTTATAAATTAACAAAAATTCTTAAAACTTTATTTTTTGTTCAGTTTTATTGTTTTACCTGAGAAGGTTTTCGAATCCAATTGGAGCAATATCTGCTACTCGAATGACTTTAGCCTTGTCCGCCATGTCTCCATAGAACATAGACTCGAAAACGGGACTCGTCATGGCCAGAAGGACCTTGTGGCCAACATACTTCTTGGACGCCATTGTCGGTCCAACGATGAAGGTGACGTCAGTGAAGGACTTGTTCTGAAGCAATGAGGACGTACGATGTAGAACTTTCTTGCTGTCCATCTGCCACTCCTTCATGACAATCTACATGCTGCCAAAGCAATCAGAATTTTATTCCAAAATCCTGTGTGACCCGTGATTGGCTAATATTTGAATGCGAATCAAGTTACTCACGTCAATGCCAATGGAATTTATTTTAACATGTAATTAACTTATAATGTCCTTTGTTTGTATGTATGTATGAAGTAAAATTTACCCTGGTTCTGTTTTCAAACCTCATTGGGAACTCAATGTAAACTTTTTCAAAAACACTGGTTTTGCACACGATCTATTTTGGAATAAAGTGTTTTTTTTTGGGGGGGGGGAGGCTTGCTTGTCGGCTTGATTTTCTTAATAAAGTAGACAGTGTTATGTACTGGAATTCATTCCTACGTCAAGGACCCGCTAGTGTTTTTTTTTTTTACCCAAAATAAACAATTTTGGTACTCATTTCGCCATCCTTGTGGCTTCCAAATTAAATTATTTGTTGAACTTTGTACTTTCAACTGAGTGATCCTCAGTTTATCTTCTACAACCTGATTGGTGTTCACTTTGTCTCTTATAATCCAAAGAATAATATAACTGTTGCCTTGTCCTTTATTAAAACTTAAATAATGGTTGAAATGACTAATTTACAAATACAACTTCAGAAGCTTGCTTAAGAGTTTGGTGCTAAATTTTCCATTTGGATAAACTGTGATTATAAGCGACAGGGGGGTCGTTTTATACATTTAACACTAATTTACTCTGCAAATACTCTTCAGATTTCTCAGATAGTGCATTTAACTTGCTTGTAATCATTTGATATAAAGAGTTAGACATGTAGAAGAACGTTTCTGAACATAGAAACTTTGTTAGGTAAATCATTAGGCTTAAGGATAACATAAAGATGTTTCAATTGTCCTGCCTGATAGTGGAAAGTTTACTAGTATACATATCACAGTAAAAATATTCTAGAAATGTATAAAAAATAAAACAGTACAATTAGGTTATCACGTAATTGGCTTTCACTTACGGTAACCCAGAAAATTGCTTTCACACAGATTATTCGGTAATAAGGTAAATTAATAATAAAGAATACACGTGGAATTTTCTGTTGTGCTGGTTGTCATGGATACGGCGGGGCAGTTCAAATCTATAACCCTTGCACTGCGGTAATTCTTGTAATTGGGCTCATTTGCAACCAAATCACGGTGAAAAGCTTGGAACAACAATGTATAGCTTGGTCAATAATATATAAATATTTTAATAGTGGTTTCACCCACAGCATAACAAAGTGATGGTAGTGCTCTGAATTTCAGAATTTCATAATACGTATTCAAAGTGAAACGGACCTTACATTTCAAGAGATTTTAACCAACACCTTTCACTTTTCTCAGTGTGTGTGGTGGGGGGGGGGGCAGCTGTACTTATTAACACATTATGGTTTCTGGGCGATATTTATTTATTGATGTTAATAGACGTACAGGATTGGCTGCCATTCTTTAAAGTACGGAGCTTGTTCAGTGCTAGAACTGAACTACATACTGATACAGGATTGGCTGCCATTCTTTAAAGTACGGAGCTTGTTCAGTGTTAGAACTGAACTACATATCGATATTAAATTACATGAAATGTTTTCATAATTTAAGCTACAAAAAAGAGGAAAATCGTTCAAAATATTAAATATATCTTCTGTTTCTATGTGAGCAATACAAATACACGTTTAATGTACAGGTGTGGCACAAAATAGTTTCCTTGTTTCGGATATTCGTCCAAAGCTACATATAGGTTATTTGTGTTCGTCGTTTTTAATTTTGAACTGGTACTATAGATAGTTAATCAACAGCACACACCATAAATTCTTATTCGATGACGAGGAACCCACTTTGAGACTAATGATGACAAAACCTTGTTGAAACATTGTTGTACATTTGCTGTTATGTTAAACTTATATTAAAGAGTTTCTTCATTACCCATTCAAGCCGTCTCTAAGCATTATT